GGCTCCAATTTTCCCTTTCCTGGTAAAGCTAGGAGGCCTCGCCGGTCTGCAGATGATTTATCAGCCTCGGGTCCTGCCAAATTCTGGCCCAGCACTCTCAGACACGAGGCTATAAACGGCTGCAGCAGTAACAGGAAAGGAGCAGGGGTGAGGGCTGCTGGGCAGCTTCTTCTCTTTAGCTCTGACTGAACTGAGTAACCAGCCAGGGCCGCGCACTCCCGACCCCGGAGAAGGCGCAGGGCCCAGCAGTGCTCTTCGGCGCTGTAGCCGCGTGCTGACCACCAACCACCCAGCCTGTTGTTTACGTCTGCTTAGGCGGAGAACGTTCCCCTGGCAGAGGCGGCGATCACACCTTGCCTGGAAGAAGAACGGGAGAACGTGAGCTCTGCGTGGCCCGGCCCTGTTCTGACGATAGAAGCAGAAGGCAGTGTGCTGGCCCTGCAGGCCCAGCGAAGCTGCAGGACTCCACCTTCCCTGGCCTGGGGCTCCACGGGTGCATTCGGCAAAGTAACCGGCCATGGCATTTTCCCCCAAAATCACTGCAGCACTTCTGCTCTGTGATGGGACCACGAGGCACATTTTCAGGACCTTGAACACAAACAGCCTTTTTTTGTTCCGTGTTTAGTAGTGCACGTTTGTAGCACATATGTTCACACTCATCTTAGGAGTAAGTACGTGAACCTAACACATCTTAACTCTTTTTATTTCTTGTCCCTCCCTCCTCCATCCACACATGGATCCCCTTCCCTTTGGCAGAGTATCAATCTCCCCGATTTGTACTATCTTTTATTTTGTCTTTTAAGTTATTTATACTCCAGGTTTGTTACATAAGAGGAGTTACATTATATATGACCTGTGTGTCTGATGTATTTCACCTAACAGTATGATCTCATGGTGCATCCATTTTCCTATAATTGGCTCAAACGTATCCTTCTTTATGGCAGAGTAGTACTCCATTGTGTATAAATACCACATTTTCTTTTCCATTCATCTGTTGATGGATACATAGGCTGCTTTCAAGATTTAGCCATTACGAATTGTGCTGCTGCATGTATCACCATAATATGTCTTTAACTTTTGGGGGAAGATTCCTAGAAGGGGAAGAGCTGGGTCATATGGAATTTCTAGTTTTAGCTTTTTGAGGAAGCTCCATGCTGGTTCGCACAGTGGTTGTACCAATTCACATTTCCACCGTGATGCCCAGGGGTTCCTTTTCCCTACTCCTGCTACCCTAGCCAAAGCGCTATGGCTACACAGCCACCCTGCCTGGGGAATCATGCTGTCCCACCCATGATTCAAGCTAACACAACCGTCTTGTGTGTGTGGTAGGGAGGGTTGAACAGCACACACTGGCACAGGAGGCAGCTAGAAAAGCCCTTCTGTGGGCTGACGCCTATATCCACCCCTGAAGGGAGCAAGGATTGGTTGTAAACCCTGTGAGATGCGGAAAATCAAAAAGCGGAAAATCAAGTCAAGACTGAGCAGGGGCTTGACAAACAAGAGCTTCAATCACTGAATCAAAACAAAGCAAGAACCAGTCACAAAGTCCTGTGCAGCTGTGTCAGTCAGTGTGGACTGTGGATTCAAGAGTTCCCTGGATCAGGGGCTCCGGCAGCAGGCATCACTGCTCGGAGCTCTGGAGGCTGGGAAGTGCAAGGCTAGGTGACACTGTGTCTGATTCCACTGGGCACTCCTACTGGCTTGCAGCTCAGCATCTTCATTCCATGTTTTCAACAGAGAGCAGAGAGGGAAGATGCAAGCTCTCTTCTGTCTAGTACGGGCATTGATCCCACTGCTGAAGGCACCACCCTCATGATTTAATCACTTACCAAAGCCCTACTTCCAAGTGGCCTCCCAACACATGAATTTTGAGGGGACACAAAGCCATGGTCCACAACAGGTACATACCACACCTTTACTGCTTACTGAAATATATGCCCCTTCCCAAATTTCCTAGCCCTCTTACAGTTGGTGAAAGCCTTGTGCTATTCAAGTTCTGGTCAACAGGTACTGAGAACAGATGTGTGTCATTTCCAAACCAAAGCATTTAAGAGACAGTGCTCAACCTTCCAGCTCACTCTTCCTCTGGAAGATCTCAAGGTGACATTCTCCACATGGTGTGGCTGGAGGATGCAAGAGACTAAGATCTTTAAGTCATCACTTGAAAGGAAATTGTCCTAGCAAGCTGCCAGACCCAGAAGTCAGAAAGAGATGCTTATATATTAAGCTCCTCAGGTTGGGGGAGATTGTTACTGCATGAAAGCCTAGATTAGCCTCATGAACAGAGAAACAAGCCAGAAATCAAATCAGAGATTTGAGCCTGAGTCATTTCAAAACAGCTTCAATCACTGAGTCAAAGTGGGCCAGGAATTCAGTAAGAGTTAGAGCCAGGGCAGGGTAGGACCCAAGTAGCTTGCCTGAGTGCACAGCCTCTCAGCTCCTGACCTTGGGATGGGGCTCTTACCAGATGCTAAGACAGGTGGATCTACAAATAAGGCAGAGTGGCCTACAGAGCTGTGTGTCTAGTGGAGTCAGAAAGGAGAAGAGAACTGACATCATACCACATTTAAACTGGGCTTTTCTGGACTTTATGAAGAAATCCTCAGTGGCACGGGAACTAGCAGAAAAAAATCAACAACTGGGATCTCATCTTATTAAAAAGCTTCTGCACTGCAAAAGAAACCATCAACAGAACTAAGAGACAACCTACAATGTGGGAAAAAATTTTTACCAGCTGCTCCTGAGACAAAGGACTATTATCTAGAATATATAAAGAACTCAAAACAACCAGCCCCCCCAAATATAAAGACCCAACTCAAAAATGGGCATCTGAAATGAACAGGCATTTCTCAGACAAAGAAGTAAAAGCAGCAAGTAAATATATGAAAAAATGTTCCATATCACTGGTCATTTGAAAGATACAGATGAAAACAACACTGAGATTCCACCTCACCCCACAAAGAATGGCTACTATCAAGAAATTACACAATAACAAGTGTTGGCAGCATTGTGGGGAGAAAGAAACCCTTCTCCATTGTTGGTGGGAGTGCAGACTGGTGCAACCACTATGGAAATCAATATGGAGATACCTCAAAGAGCTGGGACTAGAGGTTCCATTTGACCCAGCCATCCCTCTGCTGGGTATCTTTCCAAAAGAATTAAAAGAATCATATCACAGTGATATGTGTACATCTATGTTTATAGCAGCACAGTTTGTAATAGCTAAACCATGGAAACAGCCCATTTGCCCCTCAGTTGGAGACTTGATAAAGAAGATATGATTTTTCTATAAAATGGAATACTACTCAGCCATAAAGAATGAGAAATTAGAGTCATTCATAGGAAAATGGATACATTTTTAGGATATACTCTCAAGTGAAATAAATAAGTCACACATGTGTAAATACTGAATAGTTTCTCTGGAGTGAAAAACTATAATAGTACACAAGATCCTAATGGGATAATTAACAATGTGAAATAGGAAGTAAAGGGGTAAAACTGTAAGGAAAGTGGGAAGGGTAGGGGAAAGGGAATAAGGGAAAAGAAAAACATAGGAGAAAATGAAAAAATGGAAATAAAGTGTGTGTAAATGGGGAGGGGAGAAGGGGGTGAAGGGAGGGCAGGGACAAGGGGAAAAAATGAGAACCAATACCTGTCATGTAAAGATATGAGATCCCAATGATGAATATAACTGTACTTTATACCTAGAATGTACCAATAAACTCAATAAAAAGAAAAAATAAATAAATAAACTGGGCTTTTCTGCATTGCATAGGGTGCTAGAAACCATGAAGCATAATCACTTTGTCCATTGCCAGGTCTGCACAGCCAGCCTTCTGGGGAGTATGAGAGAAGCTAGGATACAGCCCAGCTGTGCTTACATCCCACACCTGCCATAGCAGAAACTGCTCCACACTGGAAGCTGGGAAACCTGAGCTGTGTCCTCAGCTTCACACTGTCACCTTGGCCAAGACCTCTCCACTACCTGTGATTCATTTCTTAATGAAATATGGAGTATTTTCTCTTGAGAACACCTACAACAGTTCCTAGATTAAACTATCTCTGAGAGGATGATTTGGGAACATAAGAAGCAGTTGCAAGGCTGCTGGGGCGAGGGTATATACACCAGAAAAAAACATGTAGAATGGTGTTTTAGTTCATTTTCTCATTGCATAGTTGAAATAATCAATACCCACAAGTTAAAGGAGGAAAGGTTTATTTTTCGCTCACAGTTCATAGATATTTCAGCCCAGGGTTGGCTGGCTCCAAGGCAGGGCAACATGGTAGGGGGCCTCACAGAGGAGGAACAGTCTCTGGCAGAGTAGGCAGGAGGCAGCAGCATTGAGCCTTTTCCCTTTTATCTCATCCAGGCTGCAAGGCTTTTGTTTGGTGCCATACCCAGAGTAGGTCTTCCCATTATCCATACCAGAAGTATACTAAACCAGCTAGTGGACTAATTTAGTTAGCACGCCCTTAATCCATAACCACACACCTTTAATCTATATTCACACACCCTAGATCCAACCACCTCTGAAAAGCTCCATCTATGAGCACATGAGGCTTTGGGCAGGGGGATATCTAGGTACAAGCCATCACAAAATGGACACTTAGCCATATCAGAAAGTTTCTGAATCCTTGGTTAAACCTACTTACCCAGTTATCCAAAGCCCAGTACTATGACTGGCTCTTTAAAATGCTATATACTCTAAACATTTCTCTCTTTCTCTCTGGGTAAGAAGTAGAACATTTCCCCCGAGAAGCTGGCCAATTTTGAAACCAATCATTCCTACCACATACTCCAAGGAGGACCCCCTGAGAAAGCATGAGCTCTTCTCTTATGATATCAGATAAGTGGCTTCAGATATCACCTATACCTCCTGTGAACAAGAAAGATGCCCCAAGAGTTTCTACACCTATTGACTACTAATCTTCAGAGATGTTTAACAGAAGAATGCATTACTTCTATAAACTCTTATGCAAGTATTGATTTTGTTTCTATCTATGTAAAATTCCCTCTTTCCTTGTCACTTGCTGATCAACTTGGTCTTTTTTATACACCTAATAGTAGAGTAGTTCAAAGGCCTCACACTAAATTTTGTTTATGTTCCTCAAAAGGAACATTCTGGTTTTTATTAAAGGAGACTGCCTATGAAAACATAGCAAAGATGGCTCTTATAAATGATGTACTACCAAAATTCAATTCACATTCTGTCTCATGCCTTGTCTCTTCTTAACACCACTGTACAGCACAGCATAAGAAAATGAATGTGGGTTTTGTTGTCAAACTTAGTTTTTAATTCTCAGCTCAGAAATTCATTGGCTATGTGAACCTTGGCATGATACTTAAACTTTCTTGGCCTCGGGAAAATGGGGTGCCAGTACTTTGCAGAAAACTCATGAAAATGATGTGCCTTCCACTTAGTAGGTACTCAAATGGTGTGTGTCATTATGGACTGTGAGAGCTGAAAGCATCACAGAGTATCCCTCAACTGGCTTCCCGTCTCTCAGAGTAGTATTAGGACTCAAAGAGAAGGGGGCTTCCCAGCTCACTGCATGGTCTGAGACTCTGAGTTTTACTTACTTCTCCAGTGCTATGGCCTCCACCACTCCTATGTTCCTGCTTTCTTCAAAGGGATCCAAATTAATGATTCCTGGGAGGCAATTTAATTGATATCTTTCTGCACCTTCTGAAGATTTTGTTAGCTCAGAGTTTCAGAAGCCTCCTTGACCACTGCACTCCCAGGAACATCCCTCTCCCGGACCGCCAGATCCATCAAGGAGATCTTGTTTGCCTCCAGGGTTTGTCTTGACCACTGCCCCTCCTGTGAGTGTGGTTAGGTCCTTCTATGGTTCCTGTAACCACTGCCCTCACGTACAGACTGCCAGACCTGGACAGTCCAGTTCACCGCCTAGCCATCCACCTGTCACTCGCCCACTGCACATGCACAGCACCACTGTATAATTCTGTAAACTCTCCACTAAGTCCCCTTGTCCCTCCTCCCATGAGCTTTTCTTCAGCTGACAGCACTACCGTCTACCCAGACACTCAGTCAGTGAACAAGACGCATCTTTCATCCTCCGTTCTCCACACCCCGCTGGTACACTTGGTATTTCTGGAATCTATTGTTCTGCGCAGCAACAGCACCACCTCAGTTTAGGTCTTCATCGTGCTCTTTGATTTACCTTCCTGCTCACTCTAAGTGATCTACCTGCCCCTGAACACACACATTTGCACCTACTGCCCGGGGCAAGCAGAACTAACTGTGGAAGGAGGGCACCTCAAAGCACAACCCTCAGACTGAGGAATCGTTATCCAGAAATGACAGAATAGGAGCTGGGGCCGTGACGAGGGTCAACTGTTACAGCCTGGGCCTGAATGAGCTCGTGTGTCTGGAGGGTGACTGCGCTGTGGGCGTTCATTCCTGTGAGTCCGGCAGCAGAGTACTCTTAAGAGGCGGGATTGCAGGGCAACCCCTGGGGCCGACCTCGGAGGGTTCTCATCGTTCTCTACCCTCCTCCTCCCCTCTCTCCCCAACCCCCGTCCTCCTCCCTGCCTTCCCCTCTCTCTCCCCTTTTCCTCTCAAGTTAAACAGTAGAACATTTCCCCGAGAACCTCGTCAACTTTGAAACCACTCATTCCTGCCACGGACCGAGGAGGACCCCTTGACGAGGCTCCCCTCACTCCCCTCCATCCCTCCTCCTTCTGGTGGCCCTGGGCTGGGCAGCTTTTCCACCATCACAGCTTCCCGTCTTGGAGCAGAGAAACTACGCTTGGACGGAGCCCTCTGAAACCGAGCGAAAGTAAACCTCTCCTCCTTCGACTTGTAGGCATCAGATGCGTCCCAGTGACAGAACAGTGACTGTACCGGTGAGTTCGCTGCTTAGCTCAGCTGCCTCTTACTTTTTTCATAGCTAGATTTGCTCCATGAAAGCCGCAGAGTATTGATCTGGCCTGCAGCACAAGCTTCTCACGGCGTCCCAGATGGGCCCTTGAGCAGCTCTGGTCTGCACAGGTGCTGGGTAAGCAGGGCCCAGATCTGAGGCCGCTCTCCTCTTCACAGCTGTCTTGTACTGCGACCTAAAAGATAGCTACAGCAGTTACAAATATTCACAGCTTGCACTGTTTAAGCTCATTCTGTGCTCACACACAGTCCCACACAGAGCATCTCCACAGACAGCCTCTCAGGTGTCCTCCTGCACACAGTCTGCTCTCTGGAGACAGCACTGACTCCTAAGGCGTGGGACTCCTGTTTTCATCTGATAATGATGAAAGAGGGAGTCTTAGTTACTGTTCTCATTACTGAGATAAAATACCTGACACTCGGAGTTAAAGGAGGAAAAGTTTATTTAGCTCACAGTGTTAGAGGCTTTAGTCCATAGTCGGTGGCTCCAAGGCAGAACAGCGTAACAGAGAGGTACTGCAGAGGAGAAACAGTTCGTGGCAGAAAGAAGGTAGGAAGGCAGAAAACCAGCAAAGTAGCAAGGAAGCAGCAGTGAACACATCAGCCTTTTCGCCATCCCTCTTCCTATCCAGAGGACACGCCTAGGGTAGGTAACACCCACACCTAGCGCGGGCCTCCCTGTTATCCACTCCCAGAACTGTGACAATCACTGCACTAATGTAGTACTCACACAACCTTGATCTCAGCATCACACACTCCAGATCCAGCCACCTCTGAAGAGCGCCCCCTATGACCATGAGGCTTGGGGGACACCCAGACACAGCCATGACGGGAGAGGAAAGTGAAACAGTGAAGATACTTCAGGAGCCTTGCCCACAGGCCTGACATTACTTCAGCTCAAATCCATTAGCCAGATCCCAAGCATTGGCCTCACCTGGCTGCAAGAGGCCTAAGAAATATCATTCCTCTCGTGCACAGGCCTCCCTGAATTCCAGTGCAAACCAGTGCTTGCAGGGCTGCGGGCTTGGATCACTCATGGCGAGGAGTGGCTGTCTTCGCACAGGGAGGCCAGTCCCTACTCCGCAGCACACAGGTCTCAACCAGAAGACGTGTGGAGGGAGTGAAGGAGTGTGCTGCAGCCTGAGATGGCGGGGGTCGGGAGCATGAGGAACAGGGACAGGCACAGATGGAGGGCAGATGCATGCTGAGCAGGAGCCCCATTGATCTCAGGTGAGGCCTGGCCTGAGCCTCAGCAGGAGCCGCTGCTCCACTCCCTTTGCCCTTTAGGCAGCAAGTTAACCACTTGACAAGATCTTTCAAAATCCCTCCCATATTCACCTTTCTATGCACATCTTTAGTTTCCAGCAGCTTAAAGACAAAAAAAATAAAGTCTTACTTTCCATTTCTAATGACCTTACATTATCTTTCTGTCGGTCTCAGTTCCCTGGGAAAATTTGTAAAGGTTCCATTTGAACTAACTTTCACATTTTCTAATTTAAAGCATTGCCAGAAAAATCTCTTGATCTCAACTTTATATGGCACTCTTTAAACAAAACATAAACTCAGAGCTCAACCCACTTAACAAGTATCCCTTTAGCAAAGTAGTGTTAATAGTAGACACTATTAAATAATCAACCCAAAGTTCAGAACACATTAACAGAAGAGGTCGGAGATGTGGGTATAAAACACAGCCCTCCTTCCACCAGGTGCTTGAAGTGTCTCTTGTGGTCTGGTCCCTAAGTGGAGATAACTGTAAGCTACTTGTTAGCTGAGGACTGTAACCTAACAAAAAATAAAGCAGCACACGTTAGGTGTGTGCAGAAGCAAAAAACATGTAAGACCCACTCCTTTGTGGGATGCAGCCTGTTGATCCTGAGACAGGAATCTTCTCTGTCAGAGTTACAAACATGTATGAATCAAGTAGCCCATCTGGCCACACACACACACACACACACACACACACACACACACACACACTTACCACTTCCACATCTTTAACATCAAGTCTCAGTTTGAGCAGAGGCTCCTAAGAATCAGGGCACAGCACCGACGGTGGGCACTACACAGGGAGCAGTCTCCCCTCACGGCCAGTCTGCCTTGCGTACGTCACACTGCACTGAACTCATCATTTCTGCACACATGTCTGAGCGTGCGGCTGCTGAGTGTGCATTAGGTACTGGCCGGCATCCCTGAGGATTCTGTCACGCTGAAAACATACTTTATGGAGTGCATAAGCTGATGAAAAACAAAGGAACAGGTGCTAATCATTAAATTTCAAAAATGTGTACTGGATCCCTGTTCATGCTAAATATCATACTTAATCAGAGGTTGAAGATGTTTGAGACGAGGCCAGACTCACACCAGTCACCACCCTGGAAACAAATCACTGGGAATGGGAGCACTCGTGAGGCAGATGTGATGCTGATAATGGTAATAACGGGTAACGAAACATCTTTAAAACACTTGAGCTATGTGCACCTACAGCAAACTTTTTATCTTCCTAATAATTTCATGTAATAGTATTTTTCACCCCGTTATACAGTTGAGGACACTGAAGCAGTGGGAGGTGAAGTAATTTGCCCAAGGTCCAAGCATTAAATTGTGGAGACTGGACATGAATTGCCTTCTCCAGAAATGCTCAAGATGTTCAAGACATGACCAGAAATGGCCCAGAGAAGCACCCATGGGAAGGACAGAAGTTTGCAAATTCTACAGGAAATGAAGAGGAAGAACCCCAGGCCTTGTGTGGTGGCGTGGAGGAGGCGTAGCCTTCGGGGACTGGGCACTCGGTGCCTGGCACAGAGAGCTCTGTGTGAGGAGAGGGCGCGGAGTTCGGAGCAGACTGTGCGGGAGACGCTGGGTACGGAGGCGTGGGCTGCGCCCTGAGCTCGGCCCTCCCTGTTCGTGCCTGCTTAGCTCTCATCAGGCTCACTTCACCGGGCCAGGAGCCATGTCTCTGTTGTGCGATCCAGCTTCCCTGAAAATTGTGCGTAGTCACAATCTCAACAGCTGCCTCTTGTCAGCGAGTTCAGTTGGTCCTAAGGAAAATTCATTCGGATTCAGAATAATGAAAACTCCTGCTCCTGAAAAAAAATCACTGAACTGCACAAAGCACTGCTAAAATAAAATAAATTCAAGGCCTAAGCTGCTTGATAGAACTCCTTGAAAGGAACTTTTTTTTTTAATGTAGTAGTTCACGGCTACAAGCGCTCGGAGAAGCAATTCCAAGTTCAGAATGAGAGCACAGCACATCCAGCCGATGAGCAACCCACAGCCTCCTGTCTGGGTGTCTTGTCTTCTCGGGCCTGGCACAAGACATGGCACCACTCTGCTGGTCTTGCTGGATGCAGAAGGGCAGTGCCTGGCCTAATGGATGCCAATCTATCTCTTGTGGTCTTTGTACTGAGATTTCCACCAGCTTGGGAGTCTGCCACTCAGATGGTCGGGAATTGCCTTCTCAGTCAAATCAAGCTTGTACACAACAGCTCTTTAATCTCTACCTGCAAAAGGAATGACCGGCCGTCACGTTAACCTGTGGTAGACTGAGGAAGGTAAGAAAAGCTTGTCATAAGGAGGCTTCCTGCTGCTGGTTTGCTTTACTGTAGAAAAAAACTGAAACAACAATAATAAAAGAAGGGATTCTCCCGTGCTGGAAGTGGTAGGAATTGCTCCCATCTGACCATTTCCACCAGAAGCTCTGCTTGGCTGAATGAGCCAGTGGCCCTATCACAGGAGGGCTTTAGAGTAGGCATTGATGTTGTCACGCTGTCTCACAGAAACCCTTCTGATAGTCAACAATGGAGGATCAACAGAGCAAGAAACGAGGGAAATGACACACAACTGGAGGAGCCTTTGGTTAGAAAGAGAGAAAAATCACATGTAATAGCCCATAGTGCTTTCCACCTGTAACCCTACTAAAGCTGGGACCTACAGGATCCAGTCTACCAGGGCTGCCATGGAGAGATCAGTCTCCAAATCTCATTCGAATAATTCCATTCTACTTGTTCATAACTCCCAAACTTTTCGCCCTTCTTTAAAGTTTTTTCATGAACTTCTCTCTCTAGAGCTTCTCACATGTAAAGAGCCCCTAGAGAAATTTCTGCCTCTCAGGCATGTCAGTGTGTACTAGAGAAACATAACAAAATATACAAATATCTAAGAACTTGCAAGATTGGCTTATAACCCCACAGCGAGGGATGAGGAAGAGTGCAGAGGGTCTGTCTGCACACTGGAGACCAAGGGATTTAGCTAAAGGTCTGCAGCTCACTGAAGTGTCCACGCAAGTCTGTATCAGCAGGCCAGCCAATGGGTCTGTGCTGGAGGCTGAAGGGTCCACACTGGAAGCTCAAGTGGAAGCCAGAAGATGATGTCCAAGGGGAAGGCAAAGACTGGAGCTCCTCCAGCAAACACAGAAGCAGGTGTGTCCTTCCTTACTTCCCTTTATACCTTCCAGGCGATGGGTTGGCCTACCTCAGGGCCCAGGGAGTGGAACTGCTGAGCTGATTTAGCTCAGCTTCTCTCGACCAGACTTCTCGAGTGGAGGCAGGTGATCAACCTTCACATCTCCTTACTGCCCACTCCATCCTCTGCCGTGGATTTTTCCTGTGAAGGGAAACTTTCAGGAAGGAGACCAGAAGATGGTTACATGCAGCTGCCTCATTTGCAAGAGAGGAATCAGCGAATCCCACCCTGTCCCATCCCTATTTAATGATGTGCTGCCTGAGGAGCAGGCTGTGGGATTCTAAGAAGAAATATTCAGTGACTTATACTGATTTCTACTTTGATCAGAATTTTCCCAGCTACAAAAGATTGTGCTCATATGAAACACACACGTGTGCATGTGCACAACACACATATAGTCACTGGACTTCTACTCATTTAAAAGTCCAAATAATTCCTTGTTTCTGGTGCTAGACTGTAAAATATTACACTTTCATCATAAGAGCAAATAAATTATTTCAATTTATAACTTACATGATTAAGATTAAATAATATATTTTTAAGATTAAATAATGTATTTTAAAACATTTTGTTGTACATTACTTTACTTACTATTCACAAAAAACAAGTGAAATGCCCTTATCTACAGATAAAGGAACTGGGGTCCTGAAAAATTAGTTCCAACCATAGGTGAAAAGCAAAGCTAGCACACAACCCAGGTCTTCTGAAGTCAAATTTCCATCTCTGTACTTGGAGAGTTCACAGATAGGTTTCCTACACGCATCTCACCTAGTCTTGATTGAACTCTAGAAAACATTCCCTTGGTACTAACCACATGCTGTGGGCAACAGGGCTGCCTTTCCACAAAGGGGGTCAAATACCTGACCAGGAACTGGGCTTGGATCCTTTATCCACTGTTCTGTTCTCTATGTCAATGGCCCCAAGGGTCTCTGCAGATAAAAACTTTTCTAACAAGAACAAGAAAGGGTCCTTTACAGCTTTAGAAAACTGCAAGGTAACTCCAGGGTGAAACAGAAAAATGATCGATACTCGTATCAGAGACTCCTCAGGGGACTTACAGATAAATAATCTTCCTGGCTCCAGCAGGCAGAGGAAGGCCAGACCTACTAATGTCTATTCTTTTTTTTGGTACCAGGGATCGAACTCAGGTCCTTGCGCTTGTGAAGCAGGCAGCAGAACCACTGAGCTAAATCCCCATCCCTAATGTCTATTCTTTTATTCAACACTTAGAAAAGCTTGGGTAGTCTTAATAGGGAACAAAACAGACTGCATTCAAAAGCACACTTCAGGGCATGTGGAATGGAAAACAGGCTGCTTTAAATATTTAGAGCTGGTCTAGGACACAAACTCCAAGAAGTCTGTCAAATGCATCATCATTTGTCTGTGGTGAGAAGCAGCCAACTGAGAAGAGGAAGTAATTTTCAATTAACTGGTCACACAATACACGCCTAAGCCCTCTTAGCAATAATTACTCAGAAATAAATACAATTTGCCTTACTGGACAAGGTGTTTTTGTTCAAAATCAAGGTGACTGTACACTGAGCCAGCCACCCCCACCTGGACACACAGCCAGTGAGTGACATCCATGACGCATAGAATCCAAGCTCCAAAAAGCAGTGGCTTCCACAGTTTACTGGCTCAAACAAAGGGTACCGGGGCAGAGAAAGGAGAGGGCAAGGAAAGAGTCAGCCAGACTTGGAAAGAAAGCAAACACACTGATATTAGAAAATCTTCGTTCCCCAGGCAACACTCAATAATAGATTAACAGAGGCAAAGCAGCTACCCAGAAAGGCAGCACCAAACACATCAAATGTTGACACATCGCTTCTCAAAGTGCCTCACAGCCTCAAATCTCAGAGCAGAGTAAAATTTTCCCAACCACAGGCTACATCTATTCCTGATTTCATACAGGTATTCGAGTTAAGATCATCTTTAAAAAGAAGCACGCATACAGGCACACGTTAACTCCCTGTAAACCTTGGAGGGCTATCTTTCAATGGACACCTCCACCATGAACCCAGCTCCTCACGTCGGTGCAAATTTTCCACTGTGGGCCAAGTTGCACTGAGGACCGCTTTGTAAAAAGAGCAAGGAGTGGCGTCTTTCACCTTCTCTTCTAATCTCATCTCTAATTTCTGCTTCAGGAAAAGAGCTGGACACTCTAAAAGAAGTCATAATTTATCCAAATCCCTTCCACTCTGAAGGTGCCAATCTTGTCAGATCATGGGGTCGGCCTAGTTAGTACTTGGATGGGAGCAGTCCAAGGTCTACAGGGAGTTTGTGTGTGCCTGTACTGCACTTCTTTTTAAAGATGACCTTGACTTGACATACTCCTATGAAATCAGGAGTAGAGGCAGCCTGTGGTTGGGAAGCTGTGCATGGCCACACATGCCTCTAACCCCAGCAGTCTAGAAGGCTGAAGCAAGAGGATTGAGACATTGTGCACAGGCCAGGCAATTTAGCAACTTCATGAGACCCTGTCTCCATGTGAAGGCCCTGGGTTCAGTACCTAGTATCAGTATCTCATTACTACTGAAAAACTAAGTTTTGGTTCCTCATCTTTTCTGTAAACTGAGGTTTTCCTTTTTGGAAACCTTATAGATTTTTTTTCCATTATTTACAGGCCATAACAGTCATCTTTCCAAATTCATCAGGCTGGGAATTATATGACCTTTTCAACATAGAAGTATATTTTGTCCTTCATTTCTAATCAAAATTTTTGAAATTTTGCCTTAATAATTTCTTCCTCTCTTTCTATTCTTTGTGGAAACCTACACTTTTGATGTTGGGAAACTTAGACTTGTGATTTAAGCATGTTGTGGCTTGTATCTAGATTTCCTGCCAAAGCCTCATGTGCTCATAAGTGTGGCTTTTGGGAGGTGGCTGGATCTAGGATGTGTGAATATGGATTAAGAGTGTGTGATAAATAAAATTAGCAGGCTGATTGGTTTAGCATAGCTCATATCTAAACACAGATTTCCCTGGGTGCTGGACATGGAGCTATGGTATTTAATGTTTGCCCTGCTGGATTTGGACTTGTTTTGGTCTCATTGCTTCCTATTCTCTGATTTATATCTTTCGGAATGGGAATGTTAATGTTGTGTCATTTTATGTTGGAAGTATTTTTTTTCATTTGTACAGGGACTCATAGCTAAGAATTTGCCTTAAATCTCAAAGGAGAATTTGGATTTGGATTTTTTTCAGCAATGTTGAAATTCTTAGGACTTTGGCAACTTTTAGAGATGGACTAAATGCCTTTGCCTAAAGGGATGCACATGAGTTTTGGGGGAAGAGTGGAATGTTATGGCTTATATCTAGATGTACCTCCAAAGCCTCGTGTGGTCGTAAGTGATGAGTTTCAAAAGTGGCTGAATCAGGGAATGTAAATGTGGATTAAGGGTGTGATGCTGGGATAAAGGGTGTACATAGTGGAAGCCCCACCCTGAGTATGGGTGGCACCAATCAATATGCTTGTAGCCTGGGTGGTACAGAAAGGGACAGAAAGATGGCAGATTTGCTGTTTAACTGCTTCACTGCTTCTGCCTTCTGCCTGCAATGCCATGAACTGTTTCTCCTCTGGGAGGCCCCTCTGTCATACCACCCTGCCTTAGAGCCAGCTGGCTATAGACT